CCCTACACTAACAGTTCTTGAAACAACAAATGCAAAGGCTCTGCTGTTAGGCTGGAACAGTAAGAACCAGTAAATCTGGAGCAAGATGTAGAACTACAAGATCTTAAAATCAGAATCAGAACTGATCTTAACAATGATTCTCAAATTTGGCATTTGTATTAAAATTCAATGTGTTTGCTAAAATTACATACTTTTGGGTTACAGTCCCTGGAACTCTGGTTTGGTAGTTCAAAACTTGGGCCCAAACGTACATATTTAAAAATAAGTATCCCAAGTAATTCTGATGCAGTTGATTTTCAGTCCACAGAATGAGAAATATTGTTTAGAGAACAACATGGTTTTAAATTACAATGTAATTTATGAGTCAACCTACTTTTTCTATCATCTGATTAATGGTAAAACAATATTTTTCTGTTTTTGTGAGAATATACAAAACAGTATCTACAAAATTAAGCCTGATTGGAGAAGTTTAAGATAGTCTTTGCAGTAAGGGAAGACCTCTGATCATGTTGTAAAACCAAGAGTAGTTATGAGGCAGTGATGTGGTTGCTTCTTGGAACAACCTCAGAGAAGCATACTAAAAGGTAGTTAGGATTCTAAAAACAATCCTTTCACATTTCAGTTTTATGAAAGGAAAATCTGGAGCGATATGGCTAAGGATACAAAATTTATTTAGATAGGACCAGGATTCCTATCTTGTGAGTGTTAGTCCAGGTCACTTTCCACCATACTTTACCTCAGCTGTCTTTCCCATTCTTTCTTATAATCCATAGGACAGATGATTCTGATACACATCAAGTTTGAGCACCATTGTTCTACTGCACTAGGTGTGTGGTGGCCCAGTAACCATTTTTAAAAACTGAATTTATTATTTTATAAACAGCTTTATTGTGGTATCACTCATTACCATACAATTTACTAATTTAAATTGTACAAGTCAATGGCTTTTAATAGCATCACAGAATTGTGCAACCTTCACCACATTAAATTTTGGAATAATCTGAATTTAGAACATTAAACATTTAGAACATCTTTTCAATTTCTCAAAAGAAACCCTCTACTTCACAGCAGTCGTTCTTTTTCCTCCCATGTCCCCAGTCTCTGGCAACCACTAATTTCTGTCTGCATTTTTCTCATTTGGAACCTTTCATATAAATGGAATCATACAATACGTGTTTTGTGACTTGCTTCTTTCAACTTGTTTTCAAGACGTACTAATAGTTTTTAAATTACCAGAGTAACTTCACTACAGTTTAGAAATGAAAGGAAAAAGCCCACGCATAATCCCATTCTGATACAGTAAGTATCATCTCCCACCACTCCCCTTGGAGGTGAATTTTCAGCTGAGTGGGAAGCAAAAGGAGGGTGCCCCTCACCTCCACCAGCCAGAACCTCTCTCAAATACCGCCTCTCCGCCTCCCACAGCACTGCAAAGCGCCGGGATAGCGGACCGAGAAGCGCCCCGCCCATCCCCGCCGGCGCCTCGCTTACGTCACTGCTTCACGCCGTAGACCCTCCCTGCTTCCCGGTCGCGGTAGCTTTGACAGAGCGCGATGGCGGCGGCCGGGTCTGCAGGGATGCCGGCGACTGTGTCGGAAAAGCAAGAGTTTTACCAACTTCTGAAGAACCTGATCAATCCAAGCTGTATGGTGCGGAGACAAGCAGAGGAAATCTATGAGAATATCCCAGGTCTGTGTAAGACTACATTCCTCTTAGATGCCGTCAGAAATAGAAGAGCAGGTTATGAGGTGAGACAAATGGCTGCCGCACTGCTACGACGGCTTTTGTCCTCTGGGTTTGAGGAGGTCTATCCAAATCTGCCTTCTGATGTTCAGAGGGATGTCAAGATTGAACTGATACTGGCAGTTAAGTTAGAAACACATGCTAGCATGAGGAAAAAACTTTGTGATATTTTTGCGGTGCTGGCCAGGAATTTGATAGATGAAGATGGCACTAACCACTGGCCTGAAGGTCTGAAGTTCCTTATTGATTCAATCTACTCTAAAAATGTGGTTCTATGGGAAGTTGCACTTCATGTTTTCTGGCACTTTCCTGGGATTTTTGGGAACCAAGAGCGGCATGATTTGGATATCATCAAACGGTTGTTGGACCAGTGTATTCAAGATCAAGAACATCCAGCAATCAGGACATTATCTGCCAGAGCTGCAGCTGCATTTGTACTTGCTAATGAGAATAATATTGCTCTTTTCAAAGACTTTGCAGACTTACTTCCTGGAATCTTACAGGCTGTGAATGACTCATGCTACCAGGATGATGATTCAGTGCTAGAATCCCTTGTTGAAATTGCAGATACCGTTCCTAAGTACTTGGGCCCTTATTTAGAAGATACTCTGCAGTTGAGTTTGAAGTTATGTGGCGACTCTAGGCTTAGTAATTTGCAACGACAGCTGGCCCTTGAAGTAATAGTAACCTTATCTGAAACTGCAACCCCAATGTTGAAAAAACATACAAACATTATTGCACAGGCAATTCCTCATATATTAGCAATGATGGTTGATCTACAAGATGATGAGGACTGGGTAAATGCTGATGAAGTGGAAGAAGATGATTTTGACAGCAATGCAGTTGCTGCTGAGAGTGCATTAGACAGACTGGCTTGTGGGCTTGGTGGAAAAGTTGTTTTACCAATGACAAAGGAGCATATCATGCACATGCTTCAGAGCCCTGACTGGAAATATCGACATGCTGGATTAATGGCCTTATCTGCCATTGGAGAAGGATGCCATCAGCAAATGGAATCAATTCTAGATGAAACAGTTAACACTGTTTTGCTTTTTCTTCAGGATCCTCATCCAAGGGTGAGGGCTGCAGCCTGTACTACACTTGGACAGATGGCCACAGATTTTGCACCTATTTTCCAAAAGAAATTTCATGAAACAGTGATTGCAGCTTTGTTGCGTACCATGGAAAATCAAGGTAATCAGCGTGTCCAATCTCATGCAGCTTCTGCTCTTATTATTTTTATTGAAGACTGCCCCAAGTCATTGTTAATTCTATATTTGGATAGTATGGTGAAAAATCTTCATTCCATCTTGGTGATTAAACTTCAAGAGTTGATTAGGAATGGAACTAAATTGGCCTTGGAACAACTTGTGACAACCATTGCCTCAGTTGCTGATACAATAGAAGAAAAATTTATTCCATATTATGATATATTTATGCCCTCACTGAAGCATATTGTTGAGCTTGCTGTTCAGAAAGAACTGAAGCTTCTGAGAGGAAAAACTATTGAGTGCATTAGTCATGTTGGTCTTGCTGTTGGGAAGGAAAAATTTATGCAAGATGCATCAAATGTGATGCAGCTGTTGTTGAAAACACAGTCAGACTTAAATAATATGGAAGATGATGACCCTCAGACTTCTTACATGGTTTCAGCATGGGCTAGAATGTGCAAAATTCTCGGGAAAGATTTTCAACAGTATCTTCCATTGGTTATTGAGCCTCTTATTAAGACTGCTTCAGCTAAACCTGATGTTGCTCTCTTAGACACACAAGATGTGGAGAACATGAGTGATGATGATGGTTGGCAATTTGTAAATCTTGGAGACCAACAAAGTTTTGGAATTAAAACTTCAGGACTTGAAGCAAAAGCAACTGCTTGCCAGATGTTGGTTTACTATGCCAAAGAACTAAGGGAGGGATTTGTGGAATATACAGAACAAGTTGTAAAGCTAATGGTTCCTTTACTGAAATTTTATTTCCATGATAATGTTCGAGTGGCAGCAGCAGAGTCCATGCCTTTTCTTCTGGAATGTGCAAGAATTCATGGCCCAGAGTATCTTGCACAGATGTGGCAATTCATATGTGATCCCTTAATTAAGGCCATTGGAACTGAACCTGATACTGATGTACTCTCAGAAATAATGAATTCTTTTGCAAAGTCCATTGAAGTAATGGGATATGGTTGCCTTAATGATGAACACTTGGAAGAACTGGGAGGAATACTGAAAACAAAACTTGAAGGGCACTTTAAAAACCAAGAATTACGACAGGTTAAAAGACAGGAAGAAAACTATGACCAGCAGGTTGAGATGTCTCTGCAAGATGAGGATGAATGTGATGTTTATATTCTGACCAAAGTATCAGATATTTTGCACTCATTATTTAGTACTTATAAGGAAAAGATTTTACCATGGTTTGAACAGCTACTTCCATTAATTGTAAATCTAATTTGTTCAAATAGACCATGGCCAGATAGACAGTGGGGATTGTGCATATTTGATGATATCATAGAGCACTGCAGCCCAACTTCTTTTAAATATGTAGAATATTTTCGGTGGCCCATGCTGCTAAATATGCGAGATAACAACCCTGAAGTCAGGCAAGCTGCTGCTTATGGCTTGGGTGTTATGGCACAGTTTGGTGGAGATGATTATCGTTCTTTATGTTCAGAAGCTGTTCCACTGCTGGTAAAAGTTATTAAATGTGCAAATTCCAAAACCAAAAAAAATGTCATTGCTACAGAAAACTGTATCTCAGCAATAGGGAAGATTTTGAAGTTTAAGCCTAACTCTGTAAATGTAGATGAAGTTCTTCCACATTGGTTATCATGGCTTCCACTGCATGAAGATAAAGAGGAAGCTATTCAGACTTTGAGTTTTCTCTGTGACTTAATTGAAAGTAACCACCCAGTAGTAATTGGTCCAAATAATTCCAATCTTCCTAAAATAATGAGAATAATTGCAGAAGGAAAAATTAATGAGACTATTAACTATGAAGATCCCTGTGCCAAACGCCTAGCAAATGTTGTACGTCAAGTACAGACTTCTGAAGAATTATGGTTGGAATGCATATCCCAACTCAATGATGAACAGCAGGAAGCCTTACAGGAGTTGCTAAACTTTATTTGAAGCACTTTAATATCACCTTATCATCTATCACAAAAGTAACCACCATAAATAAGTGTTGCAAGTGAATTCTATTATAAATGAGGGCATTGTCTCCCTGCTAAGCAGTTTATAATTCTTCATATTTCTTCAAGATTAGTCAGTGTTACAGCCTTCTGTTTACCGTGCATGTTTTATCTCTTAATCACAGACCTTGGTGATAACCTGTGCTTCCAATTGTGTTATGTTTGTTACCTGTGCCCTAGTTGGTGTGAAATATATAAATTGTTATTTGAACTATTGATGCTGGAGAAGCAGTGTTCTTGGTGTCAAAATGCCATGCTGACTATCACAAGATACTAAGAGCTCTTGAATACAAGATAGGAAAACTTTCAGGACAAACATGGTGAAGGATATAGCAGCAGGCTAATTATTTCTTGCCATAGGGCGGGCGCCACCACGCCCCAAGGCTAATTATTTCTTGATAAACTGGTTTTGTTTTTTGTTTTGTTTTGTTTTGTTTTGGAGAGATTTTCACTATAGGGCACATGTACTCGCCAGACAGAGACAGACAGAGAGACAGAAAGTGAGAAATCACCCCCCCAGGGGGTATGGTCACACCGCAATCCCTTCTCCTCCATTCTCCTCTCGGGATCTTGGGCACGCACGCACACGCGCCCGGCATGAGTTTTAAGCCACAGGGTCCGGGACGCAAACTGCGGTCGACTACGTGGGAATCCAGCGACATAGCCATTACGCTAACTGCTGGTTCGATAAACTGGTTTTCATGGTCATGGGAGGATGTTGGAACTAGGAGACAGTTTTGAGATATTGGCAGTTGACTTGGGGGTTTTTTCTAATGTATATGAACTTTTTTGATAATGTACTCCTGAGAAATGGATGGAATATCCATATTCTAGTCCCCACAGTATCCAGCTGAGCATTTTGAGAACTTGTAAATTTTCTTAGCCAGATTGATCTTGATTTTTAAAAATTATCCAGAACTCTAAGAACCATGGTTACTGTAAAGGGAATCCTGGTACACCTAACATTGATTGCATGTAACATATTGTAACACTGTGTTTGGGCAAGCAGTAAGTAATCCATATTTGTTGGAGTCAGTGTTACACGTTTCAGCAAAGTATTGCTTTGTGTATCTTATGTATCTTTCTCCCTACAAAGCTGCTTAACAAGAACAGAAATGTTGGGATTCAGATTGAGGCTAAATAGATTTCTTTTTTAAAGAAGTTCCTCATAGACTCTATGATAGCACTGAAGAGTTTTCTATTATGAAAATAAAAGAGAAGAAAACTTAATTTTATCTTTAAACATGAAAAAGAAAACAGCTTTCAGATTGTAGTCATTTGGCAGTAGATGTGCATTACCAGTTCTGTAAAATGGGTTAATTATTATTAATTGGGATGTTGGTCTTTAATGTCAAGCTTTTTGTGGGGTAGAAAAAACATTCTATTCAGCAAATCATTGATTCAAAACTTAAAAACAAGTACATCTATTGTGATTTCATGGGTCTATTGTGAGTACTGAATATTTAAAGTATTTAGCAACTATTTAAGCCCTAGTAAGTACTCAATAAATTGTAGCTGTTACTGCTGTTGTTTGTACCTCTACTGTTCTTTTCTATAGTTTGGAATTCTTTTTACATTAGAGTTTTCCCAATTCACCTCCTACCAGTTCCAATGGGCAAGCCATCTTGGACATAGTGTACAGCAATATATAATTAAGATTTTAGTTATGTGACTCCTATCCATTCCATACAATTATTTCTTGTAAATGGAGAAAAAATGAAAGTTAAGGATATTATAAATAATCAAGACACAATTTAAAGTTTATTTAAGGTAAATTTAAAAAGTACAGATGAATAAATAGAAAAATTCTACCTCAAAGTGTTAGAGGTTTTCTCTGGGTGGCAGTATTAAATGGCAATTTTTCTTCTCACTCATCTCTATTTTCTAACTTAAATTTTACATATTTCTTACATAATAAAGTTTTTGTATTTTGTTCTAAGCTTTTTGCTATAGGGGATGTCCACATCCCAGGGAGAAAGAGAGAGGGAAAGTAAGAAATCACTCCCTGGGAGGATGATCATGCAGCAATCCCTTCTCTATTCTCTCCAGATTTGGGGAATGCATGCACACATGTCCAGCATATTTTATAAGCTATTGGTCCAGGACTCAGACCATGGAGTCAGCCATGTAAGATCTAACATCTTAGCCACCAAACCACCTACTGACCCTGTTTTTGTTTTTAAGTTCAAGGACCTGTTCCTTCTTTCATAGCTAGGATTGCTATAATCTTGGCTTCTTCATGACCTAGAGTTGAGATTCCTTCCACTCACCCATAAGTTTTTTTGTTTGTTTATTTTGTTTTAAGGGCTTTTGCCATCAGGTGCATACACTCACCAGAGAGAGAGAGGGAATGTGAGAAATCACCTCTTGGGGATGGCCACAACCACTTAAAATTTTGGGCATGTATCCATTATGATTTTCAAGCTGCTTGGACCTGGATCATTTAGTTATATAACTTTTACTTTTAAAATGCACGATTTCTGTAATTTTGTCTTTATGTGTAAGTAATTCCAAGTTTCAAGCAAGAGAATTCTGTGTAAGAAAAAGTACGTTTTTCAAATAGAACTGAGAAAATATTATCTACTTTGTGGGACCTTTAGCAGTCCTCCTCCCCCATTTTAAGCAACATGTAAGTTAATGTGTAAGTTAAATAATGTCATTATTTAAACACTATTTTTTAAAATGTAGTGAGATTTAAGGCCATGCTAATGACTATTAATTGCTATACAGTTCAGACTTGAAATATTTGGAAACTGTTTCTAATCCCAAGGATACTTTTTAAAAATGAGGTGCTAGTCCCTTCCTTTATTCTTAGCAATCTCAATAATCAAGAAGCTGAAAATTCTAAAAATTTTAATGGAAAACATGGAATTCATTTCCCAAATATGAATTGATGTTAAAAACTAGGAATAGGGGCCAGCAGGTGTAGTAGTGGTTAAGGGGCTGGACTCCCACGTTGGAGACCACGGCTCAAGTACCAGGTGTGTGTGTGTGTGTGTGTGTGTGTGTGTGTGTGTGAATCCCTAGAGCGTGGAGAAGGGATTGCAGCTTGGCCATCTCCTCTAAGGGGAGGAAGTAGGAAGGATAATTTCTGTCTCTCCAGCGAGCACACACGCCCTATAGCAAAAAATCTCCCCAAAACAAAAAAACTGGGGAAAAGTCTCAAAAATATCTATAGAGTTTTAAAAGCCACCTCCTTTTATTCTGTATGTGAACTTACGTTAGAGTTCTTGAGCTTCCTTTCCGAATTTTTCAAAATTCTAGTTTTATGTATTAAAAGACCTGCAGTCACAAGGGAGGGGTTGAAAGGGATGCAAATTATACAATGGGAAGAATTTACATTTTGTGCTTTCTCACTATTTACCATTAACAAAGGTTATCTAACAAGAGCCTCTAAGACTTATTTTAGTCTTTAGAGCTAAGCAGTCCTCGCAAAAAAAGCAACATTTCCTTTCTAGCTTCCGAAAAGCCAATTCGCTGCCATCCCTGGTACTGGCTAGGAAAGCTGCGCAGGCGCCCTGCTGTCCTCCTCACTCCGCCCCTTACAGTTGTCCGCGAGCTGATTGCATCATTGGTCCGCGCAACCTACCAGGCCTCGAGGCCTGTAGCTAAGCTAGAGCCCAGGCTTTCGCACTGAAGGGTGGGGCGGGGCGAGATGGGACGCCAAGGGGGCGGGGAAGTCCACTACGCAAGCGCACTGGGGATGGCGATGGTCCCTCTTTCTTTGCCTCTTTCCACGGCTCTCCCAAGCCGGGTGGGGGCTGAGTGCCCTCCCCTTTCTCTCTCGGCCCCTCCCCTCTCCCCCGCCCAGCGGGGCGTCTAACTGACAGTTGTCGCCGGGCCCCGTCCGCGCGCCGCCTCCTCCTGCCAGGGTTCCCCGCAGGTAGAGAGGGGCGGGAGGGGGTGTGAGGGAGAGGAGGAGCTGGAATCGCCGCGGCCCAGCGCTGCGGCCCCCTCCGGGGAGGCTAGAGGAAAACCCTCCTTTCCTCCTCGCCCCCTCCCAGCCCC